TTATTTATTTTTATGTTAATTTGACTAGTTGGAATTGGTCCATTGGATGCTTTGCTCTTCACAAAACTTATACATCTACTAATTTACGTTGCTGATTGAAGATCATAATTGTTAATGTAGTGAATATCTTGTTTTGTTTTATTTACTAAAATTTACAGTTTGTTATATACTTATGTATTAAATTCAACTTTGAGATTTGAAATGATGATAAACATATTTGTATTTCTTGTAACTTCAAATATGTCGCACAAATTTACCAGTGATTTGTATTTTTTTATAAACTAGGAATCGTAAAATGACAAGAATCAAACCGTTAAAGGAATGGTTCTATCTATTTTGCGTAGGAACTAGGAACCAAAACGATTTCAGGCCTACTAGCAGGCTCCATATGAATTAGATAGAGTATGGCGTAACAAAAAGATGAAGTAAAAACATTGTGAAATTTCAAAATAGAACTGTCATATTTTTAATTCCTAAATATGAATAATTACTGTCAAGTTTGAAAAATATTGCCATGTTTTAAGTTTAATAATGTCGAAACATGACAATAATTACCCATATTTAGTGGATAAAACAAGACAGTCTTATTTTAAAATTTCGAAATATTTTTACTACAGTTTTCCAAATAATTATCCGATCAAAACAAAATAAAAATGCTATGTGTACATCTGATGTACACAAGATGTACACCATATAAAAGGGCAAAATAAAATATTTTCAGATTTTTTACCCCCTTCCCCACCTCTCTCCCACACGTGTGAACATCTTCCCCATTTCTCCCGCCTCTCCACCCTCCACTCTCCACTTCCTTTCTCTTCGATTTTTTTTTTCGATTTCTGCGCATATCCCCCTCGCCGTTCATCCTCTTCGTCTAGCACCGTTGCGTCTGTCTTCCTTTCTCTTCCTTGTCGAAGCGCCTCACTGTCTTCGTCTCCAAGCGGCAACCTCGAAGCTGTCTGTAGCGGCCAATTTCCACCGGAAGAAGCCGGCGCGATGGTTCGTACTTCACTGTCATCTCTTGCCGAGTCTTCAAAAAAACGGTAATATCCTCTTCTTGAACATATTTGTGAGTAGTATTGTTGAATTTCACCCCCTATTGTGTGGTATGTGTTAGTTGTATTTTTTTTAAAAAAAATCAATATGAGATTTCGAAGGCGAAAGTTGAAAATTAGAGTTTGATGAAGTGAGAAACACTGTAAATGGTGGTGTGGGAACCTTAAGGGGCCGGGTTGTAAGAATTTGATTTTGTTTGGGTGATGGAAGTATAATGTCTGTGGGTAGACGGTTAACCTTGTTCAATTGATTTTCATGGAAGTCGTTTTATATATTTACGTGTGACTTGAATTGTCTGTAGTTTGTGATGTGTTGTCTGTCTTCATTGATAATTAATAATTTTTTGAAATGTGTATGGTATTTTTGAGGTTGACACTTAATTAACATTAGTGATAAAATTAGAATGACAGTGCACTATACAGGAGGGGTTTGGGGTTGTTAAGTGACCATGTTGTAGGATTTTGAACATCTTAGGGACGCTGCATTGTGTGGTATTTACAATTGAAGTAGTTGTAACTGATTTAGTATGTACATGAACGAGTTCTTTTGTGTAATTCGTAGGAAGAAGCATGAACTGGTGGTTCCGGTTGAGTCCCACTTCCCGGCGCAATATTCTTTGTGCTCATCTTTTGGGAAATATAAAAACTTGTTGGCTTCTATACCAGAGAGTGAACTGCAAAATTTTAAGAACCTTCCATGGGGACATTTGGCTGAAATTCCAGAACTCCAATTTTCAGGGCATATTGTCCATATGTTGTTGTTGCGGATGGTTCGGAGACAACCTGTGGATGAGCTTTGGTTTTCTATACGAGGGAAAATCTTTAAGTTCACTTTTCAAGATTTTTGTGCTATTACTCATCTTCCGGCATACACAACCATACCCCATTTTGTGAAAAACAGTGACAAAGGTAGTGCGGCTAAGTTATTCTTTAAAGGACAGAAGCGTGTCACATACGACGAACTGAAGGAAACAATGGCGGCATTAAATCCGAAGAGGAGGGTTGACTCCTTAGCAATTGTGAAGTTGGCTTCACTTTTTGTGGTAGATTGTATGTTGCTAGCTAGAAACCACGACACAAAGATCAATTCCAATCATCTTGACTGGGTGGAAGACTTTGAGAACTTCAAAAAATATCCTTGGGCCCTTGAATCTTATAACCTAATGGTGTCCAATATGAAGTCGTTGATGCGTGATCAACCGGAGAAGTATGAGGCTGCTGTAGCTAAGAACCCGAAGTACAAGAACTGTAAGTTCACTCTTTGGGCCTTACCCCATGTCTTGCAGGTTCGTTTGTACATTGTTTGATAATTGCTTAAATCGTCTGTGTGACAATCTGTTTAATCTGTGGGCAAACATCTCATTCACAATTTTTTTGGTTGTGTATTCAGGTTTGGGCGTATGAGAAAATCCCTGGGCTTGCTCCAAGATGTGGCACCAAATTCAAATCTGAAGAAGCTAGTCTTTTCAACTGGAAAGCTACAGGGTTTTTTCACTGTACTACTTTGAAGGAACTAGTTTTTAAGGAAGAGCCTTTAGAAGAAACCGTAAGAAGTTGTTAATTATATTTTTTAATAATACGCATGAACTAATATCACAATTTGTAATCTAATTACTTGACTTGGTCCGTAGGATGACGACGAGGATGGTGATGAAGAAGAAGATGTTGGGGAAGAAGTTGATGGCGAAGAAGATGAACTAGAAGATGAGGATGTCAAACTTCTTTGCAAATTGAAGGTGTTGGAACAACTTGCAAAAACACAGGATGAAATTCAGCAGTTGAGGACAAGTGTTAGAGGCATTGAGGCCACACTTGTTGAGGTCAAAGACATGTTATCTAAGGTGATGGGGGTAGTTCTGCATGGGAATGTTCCCACACAAGAGCAGGTAAGATTACAAGTTTATTGTATATGTTATTCTCTGTGAACATTAATGTAGTTGTCTGTGTGCATCGATTTTATTGTCTGTGTAGTACATCTATTTTAATGTGCTTACAAAACAGGAAGTGGCCAGTGCTGAGAAGGATAATGGCAAGCGTGATGATGTTGAAGCTAACCACTGTACTGACCATGACGTGGCGGATGTGCGCATGGAAAATATGGTATCATTGCCTTATGTGTGTAGGCACATATGTAAATGTCTGTGTACTTTGTTCTTAATGTCTGTCAAAGTATTAACAGTTAGACGTGTTTGTGCTTTACAGGCTGAGGAGGAGCCTAATTTGCAGAATGATTCCATTGAAGAGAGTGAGGAAAGCGAGCATGGCACTCCGGCCGTGGTAACTGAAGCGAAGGTATGATTGCCTTATTTTTGTGCACCTCACTTATTTGTCTGTGAAGTAAGCTCTAAATGTAGGTATACACTTATGTAAATGTATGTGTAATTTGTTCTTAATGTCTGTCAAAGTATTAACAGTTAGACGTGTTTGTGCTTTACAGCCTGAGGAGGAGGATTTAGTCCACAGTGGAGAGCCTAATTTGCAACATGATTCAATTGAAGAGACTGAGGAAAGAGAGCATGGCACTCCGGCCGTGGTAACTGAAGACAAGGTATGATTGGAATTTTTGTATGCACCTCACTTCATTTGTCTGTGAAGTAAGCTGTAAATGTAAGTATACGCATATGTATATGTCAGTCAAACCAATATCAATTACCGCAATTCGTGGTTTACAGGTTGAGGCAGAAAATAACCCACACGAGCATTGTAGTCCAGTCGTGGTAACTGCAGACAATGAGGGAAGCGAGGTTTATCTTATTTATTTATACCCCTCATTTATTATCATCTTTGATTTATTTATTTATATTTAGACTATTCACATTGTGTGTTTGAAGCATGAGTCAAATGAAGATGATCAGGGTAGTGACCCACAAACGCCGCTTGTCGGCATGGCCGAAAAGGTACACTTCCCAAATTGTGTGTGCATAACCACCCCCATTAATGAATGTGTTTGTACTTACATATATTTGTTTTTCAATGAGAAGGATGTTGAAGATGTTCATCCCAGTGTTCCTGCATTGCCTAAAGAAACCCTCATTACTTGTATTTTGGAAGAAGTTAGTGCCTCAACATTGACATACATCTTCTTTTTACCGGTCATTCATATTTCCTAACATTTTTCTTGTTTTGCAGTTGGAGGATGTGGATCTGGTCTTAGGAGATTGTGCAGAATCCCTTCCTAAGGTTAAGTTTTACCACTATCTTTACATTAAAATTCGTGTGTGAATATCAATAGTGTTCTTGGTTTGTGCACATATCTAAACACATTATTTATTTCAATTTCGTAGGATGTGGCATTCTTGGATGCATCAGTCACTGCTTCAACGCCTTTTAAAAATGTCCAATGGCAGGATGTTCTTGAAGAAGATGTTGCAATAACCAAAGACCAACCTGCCATATATGAAAGGAAAAAAAGAAAGAGGTTCGTCTCAAAGTATCATAGCAGTCCCTATCCGTGTGCTAAGCGGGTGAAGCCGAGTGAACTTGGAAGCGAAACTGAAATTCCGGAAGAAGATAAAGTCTTGAATGAGCTCAAGACTTGGGCAGAAGCCCCTGCTACTGAGGAACCGGTGTGTGTGATGTTAGACATGCCAATCTATATGTCTGTTGATAGAAAGTTCTTTTGTGACCTGATAGCCCCACAAGAATGGCTGAGCAGTATGGTAAGTTTATATGTATAAAGTAATTTTTAATAAGTAATTTTTACTAATTGCCTGTGTGCAACGTTTTTGGACATACATTTTAATCCGTGAGGTTAACCAATTACTTGCAGCACATTGATGCCCTAACCAACTTGTTGATGAGCCACAGAATTGAGGGTAAAAATGTGAAATAATCTCCATGTTTTTCGTGGTAATCTCTAACATCCACATGTTATGGAGTGTAGGTGTCTCCCATTAGTATTAAAGCAATTTGTGTCTATCATTGCCTAAATGCAGAATCAATTGAAGAAGAAAAGATTTGACAAGCCAGAAGATTGGAGTGGAGACAGATTCTTGAAACGCATTGACTGGCGTGGATTGTCAAAGGTGTGACTTGTTACTTATATTGTGTTGTCCACATACAATTAAATTCTTATTGCAATGCTACACATACATCTTCAACCCATACTTTATTCATTATCAGGTATTAATTCCGTTGAATGTTGAAAATAAACACTGGATATTGTGTGAGGTGAATTTAGAGGAGGTCGTGGTTAAAGTTTATGATTCCTTAAAGACTTTCCGAAGTGCGTGGTATGCATTTGATTTGTGTTCGAGGCTTCCTTATCTATTTCAAGAGATTCAACATGACCTCCCACGTCCCTTACACCTTAGACCATGGGAGGCAGTGGCTGTTCATGGGGTTCCACAACAAGGAATAGGGTAAAAAAAACCAAGATAAATAATCTTATGGTTATGATGTTTGATGACCGGTGGAATCGTGTATGTATATATGACTTCGTTATTACTTTTGTGCAGGAGTGGAGTATGCGGTGTTATGGTTATGGCGTTTGCTGAACATTTGATGCACGACCTCCCCTTAACACCCGGGTGTGAGTACGACAACTGCCGCACCATACGAAACAACTTTGCAGTACGCCTATGGGATTTCAGGAAGAAAGCGTAGAAGATTCAAGCATGTATGAGGGCTGTCCATATATATATTTTTGTCCTTGTGAATGATGGGAAAAAACACTTAAACCAAAGTACTTATTTTTTGTTGCAACAATTTGTCCATCATATGCCCGAAGTAGTTATATATATGCTTATGTTTTGATGTAATCCCTAAACCAAACATATGTATATCAACTTCTGGTTTTGCAGTATATGATGGTCGTATGTTGGATGTGAACATTCCAATATTTAACTCTTTTTAGCATTGTGAATTTGTGGATTTTGTGTTGATTCATACATTGTCACAATATGGAATTAATGGCGACATTTAGAATATATATATTGCAAAGTATGTGACAAAATGTCATTGATTGACATGATACAAAGATTGAGTCATTACATGCCTTGTAATTGCCCAAAGGCTAAAACAAAGAAAGGTTCAAGCTTAAGTCATCATTATACATCCATTCCAAATTGGTTGGTGCAACATTTCTTGGTACTACCTCTTCAATGTTGCTTGGTCCGGCCACTTCCACTGATGCTTTCCCAACTTGCTTTTTTGGCGGGCCCTGTTATACATTGCAATAGTACACAATTTGAGTCGATAAAAAATTTGAAGTTGCAGTGGTAAAATGTCTGTGGTCAGACACTTTCCTCCGACCTCACAGACAATTAAACCTTAGCCAAGCTAGTGGTTCCAGTGTGTTAATGTCGGTGGGCAGACATTTTCCTCCTGGCTCACAGACATTTATACTTTGGGTAATCCAGTGGTTCCAGTGGCTTAATGTCGGTGGGCAGACATTTTCCTCCTGGCTCACAGACATTTATAAATTGGCTAATCCAGTGGTTCCAGTGACTTAATGTCGGTGGGCAGACATTTTCCTCCTGGCGCACAGACATTAAACTTTGGCTAATCCAGTGGTTCCAGTGGCTTAATGTCGGTGGGCAGACATTTTCATCCTGTGTCACAGACATTTATACTTTGGGTAATCCAGTAGTTCCAGACTTCCAGTGGCTTAATGTCTGTGAGAAGACATTTCATTCCAGTCTCACATACATTTGTACAGGTTCCAGTGGCTCGATGTTTGTGACCAGACAAATTGAGCCGGTTTCACAGACAAATGAATATATGTACCTTAGCTTTTTTCTTTCCCTTTTCAATAGGCCCTTTTTGCCTATTCTTTCTCGGAGCGCCTTTACGTTTTGTCCTGTTTGGACCTTAAATAGGAATAATTGTTTGTCCGTTCACGCCTACGACTTGGATTGGCGGGGTGTCCGTTAATTGAGTCATTACTCCACAAATTGACGAACGACCATTTCACATGTTGCATTTTTGTAATTCACCTTCAACCCATGTCAAGACGCGTTCATAATGTTCATCATCATCAGCCACACTATTTGCAAGTCTTTCAAAGGTGGTGCATAACTTGTCAAACCGTTGTTGCTCTTTAGTCGTAATCCAACCATCATAGTTGATTTTTACTCTTGTGTATCCTCTTTTGATATCTCTTCTCCACCTTTGCATGATGTAACACTGTGGTAGGGCATGAACTCCGTTACGCACAAGGATTGTGATGATGTGATTACAAACAATCCCTCTAAACTCAAATAAGTGGCACGTGCACACGGCTTTAGAATTAGGGATAGAATTATCGTACTCAACCACAACATGGATTGTTTTGAAAAAAACCCCATTCTCCATTTTGTCTTCACGGATATTGTAATGTATACCATCCTCACACCCTAACAGGTCACAATGCAACTTCCCGTCCATTTGAGCTCGAAACTCCTTGAACTTTGCAAGTGTTTACATTTGTTGCAACTCATGTTACATGGCATATATACTCACACAAGGCAACATTTTGGTGAGACACTTAGCATCCTCTTGGAACTCTTTCTCTACTTTGCATTTCAACGCACGCCCGTATTGATCAACAAATTCCTTTAGACTTGTTTTAGAATGAACAAAGTCGTCAAAAAAGGCATTAATGCTCTCACTCCGTTGGGTCGTTGACATCCCTGCCCAAAAAGTTGGCCTCAAATAGCATGGCACCCACCGATGTCTTTCATTGTAAAGCACATGTAGCCATTCGTGGTCATTAAGACGAAACCTGCACATTACAAAACATGAATGTTACAATAGTTGTCATATTGAACATAACTTGTAAAAAACAAATGCTTACCTTTGCAACATAGAAGTCCATGCGAACTCAAATTGTGCACCCGTTTGGGAGTCATAAACAGCATCATGTAAACAAGCAGTAACTTCATCTTTATTAGTCAACCCTCCCAACTTCTCAGGCACCTTCTTCATTATATGCCATAGACACCACCGATGTCTTGTATTTGGGAACACAATTTGAATGACATTTTGCATTGTCCTGTCTTGATCGGTAATAATTCCACTAGGACAACAACCATCCATACACTCAAGCCACTTTGTAAACAACCACACAAATGTGTCGGTGTCCTCATTTGAAATTAAGCCACAACCGAACAAGATGGATTGCCCATGGTGGTTTACTCCTACAAAAGGTGCAAAGGGCATGTCGTACTTATTGGTGAGATAAGTTGTATCGAAAGTTATCACATCTCCAAAATCTCTGTAAGCATACCGACATCGCTTGTCCGCCCAAAATACATTGCGAAGGCGAGATTCTTCATCTACATCAAGGGCAAAGAAAAAACCAGGGCACTCCGCTTGCATTTTGTAAAAGAAACTTTGAATTGCAATGACATCACCATTTCCTAAACGTAAGCGGCAAAACTTGTCAACGTAGTTCCTACAATCCTTTTCAATGAACGGTAAATTCTCATAACCGCCGGCTTCTACTACGGCAGAGGTGTAGGTTTTGTGAAGAGGAATTCCGGCAACCGCATTTATTGCAATTTTTCTCTTCGCGCTCATAGTCAATCTCCTATTGCAACGAAAAGCTCTAGTTTTGGTAGGACTCATAGGGTGGTTATGCTGTTCATGCACTTTCGAAATAACCCATGACCCGGCATAGTCATACATTACTTTGATTCGGGCTTTGCAACCCATTGCACTAGTAGCTGCAGGCATCAAACAATTTGTTGACTTTGAAACTCTATTTCCAGCACGGCCACATTCAATTAACATTCCTGTTACGTTTCCTTGTTTGTCTTTCTTTGAGCTCCTAATCCTAATGGGAAAACCTATACGTTTTGCGTAATTCTTATAATGATCACAGGCTTCATCTTTTCCCACAAACAACATCCCAACTTTTACATGGACGTCTGGTGTACCACCATCTACATTAGTGTTATCCGGGTCTGAGAGAACACATATAGAAAAAATGATTATTACAAATATAAACGTCTGTGGACAGGCAATAGCAAAACACATTTACTTTATTTCATCTTTGTGCACAAGCAATAGAATATCAACATTTACTACATGAAAAATAGAATACAACACTTTTACTTCATGGAGTGCCATAAATGAATGTTAGAGTATACAAATACAATGCCATTCAGTTCTACAGACACTGAAACCACGAAATGCCTGTCTTCACAGACATTACGTTCCACATACCTTCTTCATCATCAACCTCCAGAACCTGCTTTTCCTCTCCGTCGCCGACGTCTTTCGTACAGGGCTCACCTTCTTGTGTCGCCGGAGGTTCAGACCCGGAGCCGCCTTCGTCGTCTTTAACTCCCACAAAATCGGCCATGTCATAACTATTGATGAAGGCCATCTCCTCAAGAGTATAATCCATTCCTCAAGTGTAATTATACTTCCTCCGTCGAGATGTGAAGAGAACAGGAGGAAGAAGAAACTTCAGTGAATAGTAGATTTTTGCTGAGCTTCTTTGTGTGCGCAAATAAGCAACGGGAAGGGGGAAGGGGGAGTGGGAGTGGGAGGGAAAGAAAGAGAGGAGAGAAGGTGGGGTAAATGGAATGGTAATTTTTTGGGGGTTTATATGATGTACAATATGTGTACATCTTGTGTACCCAAGACAAATTGAAACAAAAATGGGTGCCAATTAGCCAATATAATTTGACGAGTTGTTATACCGTGGGAGCAACCCACCATGAGCATAGTGCTCCTAGAGACAAATTCGCGTGTTACTGTTCACCCGCATGAACAGTAACTTTATTTTTGTTTTTTTCCTTGTTCCAGCAATTGGGTGATGTAACTCGCTTGTAAAGATATGTAACTCACACTGATTAGAAATGTAACTGCGGACAAGTCGCAATGTAACTTTTCTAAAACACTTATTTTAGTGTAAACATTAAGAAAAAGAGTCCAATTACTTATTCACTTTATCTAAATAGTGAATATGTTTTATTTTTAATATTAAGACCATAAATTGTTTTAAAGAAATCAATTTTTCCCCCAAAATTCATTTTTTTCTCATTAGCAGGGGTTTATGTTGTGGTATAACTAGCGCGTGGTGTAACTCACGTACATTAAGATGTAACTCGCATACATTAAGATGTAACTCGCGTACATTATGATGTAAAATGAACATTATACTCCTGTTGAGATAAATGTAACTTGAGATAAATGGAAATGGAAATTACGTTATCGAACATGTAAGTTGAACCCAATCAAAATGTAAGTTGTCTAATATTTATATCTATATTTATATGTATATATACATATATAAATACTCCTGTATCTCTTTAAATGCTCCGTATGTATACCAATTTGGTGGACATTTTTAACTTTTGTTGGCCAGAATGAGTAAATGGGCATCCACATGCATCGATCTGTTTACTCTGGCGACACAAAGGAGCCCATCATCAACTTGGCTGCAATAAGTTGGCGAATCACAAAGGAGCCCTTCATCCGTCTGCGAATACGTGTTTGCTGTTGGAATTTCCGAGGTGTGCTGATCAAAGTGCAGGCGGTTGTGCATGAAAATAGTTTCTTAGGATGGTTGGGCGAAGAAAGAATATGTCGTTTTAATTAAGATTGCTGCCATTTTGGGATCGGCACACCATGTGCAAGCCGATCCCATGGTATAATTTGCTTAATTTGACGCACCAGAGGGGCCGCTCATGAAACTTTCAACACTCCACAAGATCCTTCATACTCATCGTCGATTCTTCTCTTCTATTCTTTCTCCCCCGCCATCAA